GCTCCGCCAACACTTCACAATATTCCAATTAATTGGTCTACGTGATCAAATTTGTATCAATTGCAAAATTCGACAATACATGTCTCATAAGTGTCGCAAATAATTATCTATCCCACGGTACACTTCCCATATTACCAAATTTGTTTCAATCGACACTTTCCAAACATTAATTACAAAACGTAATTCTTTGTAACTATTCTAGTTGCAGAACAATTAAAGTATCGAAATAATATTTTATCCCACGATACTTTAACTTCCTCTTAATAAGCAAAACAAAATTTCCTAATTTCACTGCTCCAAATTCAAATTTCTAAATCATTAAAATATTAAAACAATATTTTAATTCATAGTAATTTCCATTACAAAATCTATTGCATTTGAGCATTCCTCAAGCTGCATCAGCATTTCACATAAACAATGTAATAACACTCATTTGTCAACAGGTTACCAAATTTTTATTGTTACCTCTCATCCACTTTCGCCAATTATGATTTGTAAGTAGTATATAAGATATTGATTTTGTATTTAGAATTCAGTCTTAAGATTCCACCTAAGTGAACGAATATATAATTATTAAATAATTTTATTTATAATAAAATTCGTTTTTTAAAAATCAAATAAAATAAAATAAAATTTTAATAAAAATTAGAATTTGTATATGTTTTATTTTTTTTTATTTACCGAAGTGAATAAAAATATAAGTCGCGCGGATATAATTATTACAGTAAAGTAAGCTAAAAAAAAATGCTATTTTTTTATCAATTTTTCATGATAAAATTAAAATATCTAATTGAGGTTTTAAAATTGTATTTTGTGATGTATTTGTGAACATTTTGCATTTTTACTTTTTTGATTTGGATGATACTTAAGCAGTTTTGATATCGAACTTTAATTCGATTTTGCGCAAATTCTGTATGTACGATTTTTCTGGTTTTTACTTTAGTTGAAAGCTTGTTTTATTACCTTTCAGGTGAGTATTCGTGTATGTCGGGGCCGTTTGTGGTTGTTTTTTAATTATTTTTTAAGTAAAAAAAGTCAGTTTTTTCAAAAAATTTGATTTTTTTATTTTTTGAATATCTCAGCTATTACGCAACATACATTGTGACCGAAAAGTTTTCGGGAAATTTTAAATAAAACGCAAAATTCTTAACCTTCATCAATATTTATTTTATCTCCTTCAAAATATGCTCCATTAGAAGCGATACACAAATGCCAACGTTTCTTCCAATCATCAAAACATTTTTTATAGGCGCTTTCCGGTATGGCTTTGAGTTCCCTCTGCGAATTCTGTTTTACGTCTTCTATGGATTCAAAACGCGTTCCTCTGAGTGGTAATTTGAGGTTGGGAAACAGGAAAAAGTCACACGGTGCAAGATCAGGTGAATACGGTGGCTGTTCGATGGTATTTATTGAATGTTTGGCCTTAAAATCGTTGATAATGTTGAACAAATTGAGGTGAATCGGAACAAGCCGGGCGTTGACACGTCGCATACACAAATTGTCCACCAAAATCAAACGAGCCATCTCACGACCGATGCCTAGCTCTCGTGCTATCTCTCTAACACTCACATGAGGATTTTTGAACACGATTTCCTTTGCCTTTTCAATGTTTTCGTCGGTGGTAGAGGTCGAAGGTCGTCCAGAACGCGGCATGTCTTCGACGGTCGTACGACAGTCCTGAAAGGCTTTGTACCACTCATAAACTTGAGTTTTCGATAAAACTGATTCCCCATAAGCCTTTTGTAGCATTCGCAACGATTCTGCACACGAAATTTCGTTCGAAAAACAAAATTTGATGCAAACTCTTTGTTCAATATTTTTTTCCATTGTTTTTTTCGCAACGCACTACTGAGGTGAACTGGTTTCAACAGCTGCCGTAAACGAACTGTCTGACAGATCGCGCTCATTTTTGGCATAGTAATTAAGGACAGTGCTGCCAAACTACATAAACTTAAAATATCGAAAAATATACAGCGCGCGAATTTTAAATAAGAATTTCCGAAAACCTTTCGGTCACAATGTACAGTTATGAGGTGTATACCAAATGAAAGATAATTGAATTTTCTTTCTAAATTATATTTCTTATTTCTTGAGAAAGCTTTAATTTAGCTAATATTGACAAATTAATAAACTTAGAAAAATTTCGTGTTCCAATTCCGGTTTGGAACTCCCAGCATCGTTGCTATCTTGGCGCTCGTATCAGTAACGTTGATTTAATTGAAAATTTTCTTTTGTTAAATGGATTTTGTTATAATTGGTTTTTATACTTCGATGTGCTGGAAATGTAAAATTTTGAATAAAAATTGAATTATGTAAAGGAAACTTTGAAATTGTAATAAATATTATGTGCGTGAAGATAGCGTCGACGATAAGTCCAAAATGGAATTGGAACATTTTTCGCCGCATGAAAAATGCAGTATACTTTAATTAAGGAAAAATTTATTATTTTATTAAATTTAATGCAGCAAAAGGCATTATTAAGTAGAAAATTGAATTAATTTTCTATCTACATTCAACTCTTATGAGTAAATGATGTAATTTGTATGAAAAATGAAAAATAAAAATCAGCTCCAAAAGATGGGGTCATTAATTTATTAATAACTTTTAAACTAGAGGTACCATTTTTTTCTTTTATGGCTCATTTGAAAGAAGATACAATTACCTTTCGTATAATGCAAAATTTTATAGATTGTTCGATTAACTTAGGAGCAGTGCTGCGATGAAGATTGAGATGTCATTTTCAAACATTATTTAATTAAAACTTTGTTACTTAACCAAAAATAATGAACTAAAAAGCATATAACAATAAAAAAATATGTTTGTTTTTCTAAATATAATCGCTTTTTACATAATATAGAAAAAAATTTTCTTCAAAATAAGGAAAATAAAATTTTGTAAAAATATTTAACTTTACAAAATTAATTATATCTTTAAAAGCAGAGGTACCATTTTTCTGCAAATTAGCTTAATCGAAAGAGGACATTTCAAACTTTCATTTAATGTATTCATATTTATAGATTGGTCGATTAATTTAAACGATATTGAGTGTCAAAGTTCAGAAATTAATTTTTATTTAAAAACAACATTTTTCTTATAAAAAGCATATCCCAGAAGTCAGATAACAGTTAGTATATAAATAACTTTCAATACAATACCCTAATAAGCATAATTATTTGAAAAAAATCGAAATTAGTTTAATTTTATTAATTATTCAAAAATTCTGTACAAAGTTGGTTAATACCATCTTATATTAAATTCGCTGAAAAATTAAAATGGCACTGAAAAACATAATGTACAGTTGCAGAGTTATTGGTAAGTCCATAGTATTGCAAAAGAGAAGCTAAATTCGAATTTTTATTAAGCTTGCTGCATCAAAGATATTATCAAAATAAAAAACTAGAATTTTTTCTAAAACTAGAATTGATATAAAATATTATATATCTTATTCGATTAACAAATTACACATAATTAAATTAAATGTGAACTAACTTGGGCATGCACAATAGTTGAAATTGCGTTGATGATATATGTGGGATATTAAGGACGTGTGCGAGTTAGGCTAAGTTGATGCTTAACCAAATGGGACTTTTCTTGGAATTTTTTACACTGCACACATTTAGCCACTTAGCCCAAAAAAGTGTGCGAGTTACATTTTGACAGCTTATATCAGCTGTGAATATGTTTTGATTTCAGAATTTTGTTTACATATTTTGCAATAGCGAAGTAAATTGATGAAGCATTTTTATTTATCCAATTTTTCGAATTAATTTAATTAAATATTTGTCTTAACATATTGATAAAGAGATTCCTAGAAGAATATCCAAAGGTAATTATGAAATAATTTCAGTAAATAACATAAATTATCAGTTTGATTATTTAGCGCGAGCTTTTATGCCAAAATGGATATTCTTCCGAAATATTTAGAGCAAATGAAGAAACTTGTTAAGATATTCTCAAAATTCATTTGTGTAAAATAAACTTGACCCGCTGCATTAATTTGCGTAAAAAAACTGAGCTTATATCGGGAACTTCTGATGCAGAAGTTAAAGGCGTTTATATAGAAGCTGGTATGTACGCATTGCGTGGGCGTGGTGTGAATGTTACTCAAGAAGATTTTGAAATGACTATCGCTAAAGTTATGCAGATGAATTCGCTGTAGTATGTGTGGCGAGTTCGCCACAGAATTATTTCTTGGATCTTCACAATTAAAAGTTAAAAACTAAGGACGTGTGCGAGTTAGGCTAAGCTAATGCTAAACCAAATGGGAGATTTTTTGGAATTTTTTGCACTGCACACATTTAGCCATTTATTAACACGTATTGACACATCACTACATTGTCGGCACAAATTAGAATTTCCCTCATTTAGAACGCACCTTAGCCTAACTCGCACACGTCCACACGTCCTGAGTATTGACACATTACTACATTATCGACACAACTTAGAATTTCCCTCATTTAGAACGCAACTTAACCTAACTCGCACACGACCCATCATATATATATTTGCTCTACTAATTTGTATTTACACACATAAAAACAAACAAATCACATTAAACATAAAACATTTATTTTAAATCCACAATTAATAAATTATTGTTTTTTTACCTTCTTTCGTCATATTTAGGAAATTCATATATTCCCATAGGCGTGCACAGGTAGGGACGGGGGCTAAATTTCAAAATGTTATTATTGTTTTGAATAAAAATTTAATACTGTCACTTTTTTCAATAATAGTGATAGATTAGCGGTAAAAACCATAACTTATTTTATTTATTTATATATAAAAGAAATTAATTACATTTTATGCAATACATTTTTTATAATTTAAATATTCTTTTAAATTATCACCGTCTCGTCATATATATGTTACACATTGTGTCACGGTATCATAAGTGGTCAGGTTGGCCGAGCGGTCTAAGGCGCCAGATTTAAGCTCTGGTTCCCGAGAGGGAGCGTGGGTTCGAACCCCACACCTGACAAGACTTTTTTCATAATTTTTTTTAATTTCTTTTTAATAAAAAATAAGCGTAATTTCATTATATTTTATTTAAAAGTGTAAATAAACTTCAATAAAAAAAGTAAAATATGTATTTGCAATATTTACATACATATATATAACGCAAAAACGGAAAGAAACCGGTTGATCATGAGAAAAGACGTCAGTGAATTTTATTGAGATTAATTAGTTGAGAGAATTCTATAATGTGTTTCAATACTATCTATCCACCAACAATTGAGAGTATTTTTTTGTTTTCATTCAGTTTATTCGCGACATTCGTCCAGTGCAAACGTGATAGGTGGTAGACGATAAGAACTAAGATATTACTAAATTGTGAAAATATTTGTTAATTCAAAAGCAAACTAGAGAGTGTATTGTACATCGCACCCCTTGTACCTCTTGACTATTTTTCGACAAAAATAAGTTTTCCTTTTTCAACATTATACTCGTATGTATTAATCTATCTACAAAAAGCGAAAAAAGCAGTTAAAAGATTTTAAAAAACTTCGAGCTGTTAAAAAATTGATTTTTTTTGATTTTTATTAAAAATTTTTTTAAAATGATGAAAAACGTTATATGGAAAAATCGACTTGAAAGCAGAAGAATATCACCGAAATACTCGTCCATAATTTTCTTGTTAATTATGATAACTTGGACTCCAAGTCAAGGTAAGAAACCACAGAATTCCATTCATACTTCTAAGAATTAAAGAAAAGTTAGGAAAAAATTTCATTGTATTTTATTTTTAATTTTTGGTTATTTATTGAAATTAGAATTTATGAAATATTTTAGTCCATTTAAATCGAAAAATTGCAACTAGTTTTATGGAAGTGCTTAATTGATCTGTTTGAAGGTAGCACACAAAAGACTGCTTACAGCTTTTGAACAACGGGGATCTGCATTTCCGATGAATTCGAAGCCTTCGCTTAAGACATCGAATTACAAACATTTGAATTCTAAACTTTGAAGAAGACTTTGTGTAAAATAGAATTAAGATATGTAGGCCGTATAGTTGATGCGAGGGCAACTTCAAGGTAAATGCAACCACTAGCCATACAAATCGTCAAGGTTTTCAACTCTGGTGTCTCATATGAACTTAAGTTACTTTCATTTGTAATCGCCGACTTAGTTAAGATAATTTAATCTCAACTTTATTTTTAGTGGAATATAAGTGTCATTTGATGTTTGGATCTTCATAATCAATTCTTACCTTTAACGAGTTAACGAGGAGGCTAAATGCTATTCTTCTACTTAATGTAAGAATTTATTTTAGTTGTCGTAGAAATAACTTTAATAATGCAGTTCACACTAGCAACTTAGTTTGGACTTCATTAATCCCAAACTTCATTTAAACTTAAATTTCATTTACGAACATAAAAATTTAATGAATTTAAAAAATATCTTATTTTTTTGTGTTACTGAAATCTGTTTGTTTATGTACTTAAGTTTTTTTTTGCTTATCATTCTCTTCGTAATATTTAACAAACTCTTAATTTTAATTTCATTGGCCTAAATAAAACGGCAATGAATGTCAGAAGAAACCACGTTTGTTTATCTCTTGGTTTTACTTGTTTTCGCATTGAGTATCTTGCCGATTGAGATAAAATTGTTTGCCGCAATTATCATATATAAATGAAATGAAATTGTGCACAGGTGCCGGTTAAAAGGACATGCTTATAAGTCATACATATGATATAACTTTGCTTTATATTGAACTGTATTAACATTTATTTAATAACTAATGGTAATCGCAGTTAAGTAAAAATTATTTTTTCGTAGAGATTGATTTCGAGTTCATCTCTTAAACTTCATTCATAGAATGCAAAATGTTATTAGTTGTTGTGATTATTACGGTACGATGGTCCTTGTGTTGGATGCGAGATAGTCTATAAATCCTTAATATAAATAAAATTGATAAAGCAAGAAAAATTATTTTGCCTTTTATCGACGTATGTGCTGTTATGAAATTAACCAATTGAACAACAGCAGACAGTAGTCAGGTTGGCCGAGCGGTCTAAGGCGCCAGATTTAAGCTCTGGTTCCCGAGAGGGAGCGTGGGTTCGAACCCCACACCTGACAAGTAATTTTTTTTTTTTTTAAATATTTACGTATCATAACGTAAATATGTACGTATCATAACTACTGTTTATTGATCGATAACTAATTTCAAGGATCAAGAAACAAATTTGATCTTGAAAAATTTAATGTACAATTGGCAAAAGGTTAAAAATTTCGTTTTAATTTTAGATATACTTAAAAATGTTCATGTATTTAAAATCAAGTATCCGATCTTATGTAGAAGTTAGACCAAACGGGTATAGTACGACTACAGCAACCTTTAATAAATGTATTTTTGAGCTTGAGCATTTTTAAGTAGGTAAGTAAAAATCGAGGTAAAATCGAAAGTCATCAATAACGTCAATTTAAATAGGATATGTAGGAATGTGAATAATATAAATGGTGGATTTGACACCTTTTAAGGTGACAGTCTTCTTCATATCAGTGACGGATTAAAGCCAATTCTGGACGTCGGCAACATCAAAATTGCGAGGCTCCTTTTATTACCGAGTTATAAAAGTAAAAAAACTACATTTACTAATTAATTAAATCAATTAAATTAGGTTAAAATAAATACAAATGATGCTTTTAGCCTTAATGAATATTTTTAAAATTATATCATAATTTTCACCAATTGATAGAATTGCCACTTGAGTCTCTCTTGGCTCATCGTACTTCTCCAGTAGTTCTTAATTAATTTTATCTTTGAGAATCTTGCTTCCTTCGATTTCAAAAGCAGCAGTGCCACATACAGTTAAAAAGGCTGAATGTCGCTGTTTTCACCATCCCGAAGTTTATACCTGAAGCATTAAAATGTTTGAAAATGTTTTCGTTTAGTATATTTTTCATATGATTAGTGTCATGTATGAAATCAAATTGTTTTAAATATCCATTAAGTGTTTTAAATCAACAGTTGGTGTTAATTATGATAGCTTCTATCATTGAGGTTAAAAAGTTTACTGTTTACCGTATTTCAATCAATTGGATAGGTCATAATATATTCATAACTAAACAATCGTTGCTTCTTTGCTATTCTTTTTTCTTTAAATTTAGGTGCAATTTTATGGTTAAAACGTACAACTTATTCAGGAAAAACGTTGGTAACATCCACTTAGAAGAATTTAAGTGACAGAGGAAGGTATAGCCATTCTGTTTCTTTTAGCAAAAAAAAGGGTTTCACAATAAAAATGATCTAGATTGCCAGATTTATCCGATGTCAATCAAATGACAGTTACCAAATCCTAATTGTTACCAATTCCATTAACTCACAACTCAGAATTGAATGAAATCTGGTTCGTAACTACTTTTTTCTACAAACAATCGGACTTATTCAACGCGTTGTTGAAATCCAGTATTGCGATAGTCTTTTTATAAGTTTATTCCAGTCGATTGCTATAGTTTATTTATATTATTCACTCGTACCACATGTGAATTGCAACATTTAACTTGAAAGTTAGAATTTTATACAGAACTACGAACGCGTCTGTTTTATTTCTCAGATCATTCACGCATTCAATAGCATTATCAAATTGCAAAATTATCGTTTTTATTGCTTCGATTCTACTGTCTCATCTTGTTTCAGAGAGAGATTTTAAAGTGGAATCGACTTTGCTCGACTTTAAAAAAAGCAAATAGATTTTATTGATAAACCTGAGAAACAGTTGTTGCTGAAGGTTTGCTTAATGAATAAGGAGTGTAGGTCTCTCAATTGGAGCTACAGTAAATCTCACTTTCTGAGTGAGTATATGCTCTTGCATCTTTGAATTCGTTTGTCAAAAACAAACCATAATTCCCACATTTAACAGAGTTGCGACTAGCACTGAATATCTCAAGTGTTAAAAGAATTTCTTACTCACGTAATAAGAGACAAATAAAATAATTTTTTCTGGTAAGTGGAAAATGTAGTTAAAGTTTTAAAAAATATATCCAACAAACTATCATCGATATCTACATGCTCATGGAAGTTTCAATTATATTATTTAGGTCGTGTGCGAGTTAGGCTAAGGTCGTGTGCGAGTTAGGCTAAGTTGCGTTCTAAATGAGGGAAATTCTAAGTTGTGTCGATAATGTATTGATGTGTCGATACGTGTTGATAAATGGCAAAATGTGTGCAGTGCAAAAAATCCCAAAAAATCTCTCATTTGGTTTAGCATCAACTTAGCCTAACTCGCACACGACCTAAGTTGCGTTCTATATGAGGGAAATTCTAAGTTGTGCCGATAATGTGGTGATGTGTCGATACGTGTTGATAAATGGCTAAATGTATGCAGTGCAAAAAATCCCAAAAAATCTCCCATTTGGTTTGGCATCAACTTAGCCTAACTCGCACACGTCTTTAATACGTAAATATAGGTAAAGTGTGAAGAGCTTATTTATGCGTTTCATTTGCATAAATAGGAGGCCCTATTCCGATTTATCTAATATTTAAAATTTATGTCAACTTCATTTCTTCTATTTTGTAATCTCTTACATATATTATATCGTAATTTATTATAATTATTTTTCACAATAAACGCACAATTCTGCACGTTGGAAAGCATGAACAAGTTGGAATTTAATCAAAAATAAAAAAAAACTGCTTTCGTGAACAGATAAAGTGGCTAAGATATGAAATATTCAGATAAGAGTTGAATTTTTAATAAACATTGAAAAAATATTACGTCCTATATGATTATGAATCACACTAATATTGAGAGTGCACCACTTCGCTCCCCCCAGATTCGACAATTCAGTGTCCTCATCATTTATCTGTTCAAATCATTATACGTCATTTTGCAAAAACTGCATTAAGTCTTGAGCTATTTTAAAAATGTTCAAATGATTTTACAAAATAATAAATTACATTGTCAACTCAACTAAGTCAGTTTGGTTGTCTCCTTTCATCTCCACCCATTACGTTTGAAATGTAAGCATGTATGACCCTGTAAAAGTTTAAGCAACAGTTTTGAAATTTACAGTTTTACACAAAAAATATTTGCTCCATATGCTTTAAAACAAATTCCAATAAAGTGTTTGATTAGATTTTACACAGATACCGCAACGACATCAATAGAATTACAAAAAAATTACATGATCTGCATATTAAATATTTCAATTGATTTTTAAAATAACAATTGCGAATAATAACCATGAAGGGGTCTTGGCGCTGAAGTCCTCCGTCAATAGCTTTAACAAGTTGAACCAAAACTATTTAATAAGTTTTTAATATCTGAAACTTCCAATTTATTACAAAGAAAAAGTAATTAGGGTATTGTTTCCTCTTTCACCTAAAAAGCAAAAGTCCATATCTGTACTTTCGTATGTAAACCCGAAATTCTTCTGGCAAATTAAGGACGTGTGCGAGTTAGGCTAAGTTGTGCCGACAATGTAGTGATGAATCGATACGTGTTGATAAATGGCTAAATGTGTGCAGTGCAAAAAATCTCTCATTTGGTTTAGCATCAACTTAGCCTAACTCGCACACGTCCTAAAGATATTATTTGGCATTAGTTTCGTCTTATCATAGGAATTTATATTTGATTAGTATTCACATTAGCATGTAGAGATTTAAATCTACCTATTAAAGAAGTAATAAGATACCTAGAAATACCAGCTCCAGATCGTCCTGATTCCCAAACATTTAACCTAATAAAGACTTTTAAATTATTTTTAAATTTGGTTACATGTGCAGAAATTTACTTTAATACGCCTGGAAATTCTTAAAGCTTTTAAGATTTAATAATTTGATTTCCAAAACTAAATGAGAGTATTAAAAAGATTTCAGTCTATTTTTACTTTTGACTCAAAGTTGTAATGACCTTTTCCGGCTCTATCTATAGCTGGGATATGACTCAGCGAGTACACCAGGGTTCATTATAAGATTTAAATAAATAAAAGGGATACTTCTGCCTTGTGTTTGTATTTCAATAGTATTTATTTTTAGTTTTCAATGGTGCCAAATTTCAAATAGCACGAAGGATGAAGAAGAGTAAAAAGCTGCTAAAGATTTGGTGAAAACGTTTGTCAGCTATAGCCAGGCAATGGCTACGAATCATCGTGTGTCCAGACCAACTAATCAGAGCTCCCACTGTTGTTCCTAGTAAACTTCTGTTGGTGATTCGACATTCATTTTTCCGTCAGCAATGGCCAGATGGAAATACGATTGGCTGATTATAACAAAATTCGAAGAATTTTGCTAGTAGTAAAGAAACCTGGAGATCTATGTTTCTAAGTTTACAGGGGCATTCGTCAATAAGAATGGATTTATAACAAAGAAATTAACAAAATTCAGAAAATGTGATTTACAGGATCATATATGAAGAGAAATGTATTTTCACTATTTGTAACTAGTTCAATGTGTGGGATTAAATTTTCCGTAAAATTTGGTCCTCACAAAGTATTCTAGAAAATATTCTATCATTTAAAAGAAATTTTAACTATAAATTATTACCTATTACCTGAAGATGCAGATTAAAAATTATAAATTTTCTTTTCAGCCTCTGCCAACCCTGTGAACTCCGCAACTAAATCGGAGAGCGATATTGCAAAAAAACATTTTGATGAAGTTGGCGATTTAAACGACAACTTACAATCGGATAAAGAAAATACAAATGTAAGTAAAACAACAAAAGCACAAATCTATATATTTTGAGATAGTAAGAATGGAAATTTTTTTAACTCTGTGTACGAGGCATTTACGATTTCAGCTGTAATCGTAGCTTTATTTTTTGTCAAAATATATATTTTTTGTTAAATAACCGGAACTTTTTTAAGAGAAGCACCCCTGTGTAATTCGTTTAAAAACGGAGAATTCAATACAAATTCTTTAAATATTTTCTGAAAATACCTTAAGTATTTGAAAGTAGCTTAGTCAGAATAAGACCGTTAAGAACAACAGTTAACGATGCAAACAAATTGTTACGCCGTGATTCCCATTTCCATTAATACTGAGTCTTCTGCGGCTTTAAGTGGAAGGTAGGCCAGTGTCTGCTGTTGAATAATAATTCATAACTTCGATGACGAAATGCGGTTTTCTCACACCACCGCATGAATCATGCTTTCATTGATTTTAGATTCGTAGAATAAAATTCATTTTAAATCGGAAATAAAGTTGAATTAGGGAATGCAGTGGATTAGTTTCAGCTCAGTTACGCTCTTTTTTAATTACGACAGAAGACGTACACACTTAATACAGAATCGTTTTTTTATTATAAATATTTTTTTTTAATACGTCATCAACAAAGTGTACAATCTTTTTATTTACTTCAACTTATTTTGCTTAGATTTTGCATCCAAGTGATCCAATCATAAATTATTTAGAGTTTGCAGTCTTCCAATAATATTTAATATTTACTTTAAAATAATGGCAGGTAAAACTCGTGATATGTTAAAATGTTCACATCATTTAAAATGTTTCTACATATCCTCCTCAATTTACATATGTTTGTACTTTAGTCACAAATAGGAGCAGTTTCCTTATGGGTTATAATAATAAAGTTTGCTTCAAAAATTATCTAAAATTTTTCACGCGATTGCTGTCCTTTAATTATCAGTACAAAGACAGTATAATTGTAGGAAAATTTTGATTATTCATGCATTAAATTTGAATTTACATGGACAAAGTCCCATTCAAATTTATTATTGGTTTAATTTAATCATAATTCTCACTAAATTGAAATATTATATTAGTCTTCAATTACGATCAGATTGATCACAATAGCCCAATCTAAAGTTTTTGTTTCGTGATTTATTTTGTCTTTTAAATCTGTTGATAAAGTGTCATCATGAGTACTACTTTCCGGAATATAATAAATCTATTGTTAAATATCTTCTTAAATTTTTAGAATACGGATTTGCCTTTTTCTCATCGTGATGAGGTCCAAGAGAAGGAAGGCATCATTCTTAATGCAGATAACATTTTAAAATATGATGTTGAAATAATTGAATCGCGTGATATAAAAAAAGAGAATTTAGAAATAGAGGAGCGATTCAAGTAAGTCTGAAAACTAAAATCCATTAACTTTATTCAAATCAAATTTTTATTTCATTTTAATAATTCTTTTAACAGGGGTCCTGCTCTCGAAATGAATACGAATACTTTTGTATCGGAAAATATTGAACTCAATAGCGGAACTGTAGACTACAGCGCAATGAAAGACAGTCATGTGGTGTTGACTGTTATCCTAGTATTGGTTGCATTGGTCTCGATCAGTTTATATGTTTTCTTAGTGATTTGGCGTTCACATTTGGAGTGAGTCAGAGCATAATTTCTATACATATAATTATATATTATGTTAAATTTTTATTGCATTCCACAGAGAACGTTACGGTATGCGGGAACTACTCGTGGTGAACACTGATGAGGATGTCTATCAGTCCAGTAACATGGCCTGTAACACTAGCACAATTGATGAAAACATCTCAAATATACGCCATCTCACTTTTATCCGCACATGAACCACAACAACAACTACACCTGCAGCAACTACTAATTTGTTATTAAAATGAAGTGCAAATTTTCCAGCTTTGTTATTGCAATTAAAAATTCTATTCGGAAAACTCGTAATGCCGTAAACTGAACTTTCGCGGTACTTTTTAAGTTGCATGTGCGGAATAATCAGAACATTTTTGTATTTTAATATTTTAAATAATTTAATTTAAAACTCGAACAATTGAAAAATTGCAAATGAATTGCATTATTGAAATAGTCATATTGGAAAGTCCACCATCACAGACCTCACACATTAATTCCGAATCGTTTAGTGTCATCGATTGTTGTTATTTTGAAACGTAAGCCTCATTTGTAACAAAATAGAATGTAAAATGTATTAAGAATTTTTTTAAGTAAACTAACTACTGTTGTTATTAGTGTTTTCAAACAGGAAAACCACTTTGAAAGTATGAGAACGCTATAGTTTTAAGCTGTGATATTGAAATAGAAATCTTACTAACAAACTTTGATTAAAAGAAATTATAAAATTTGTTATATCAGAAAATGATTTTTATTTAAAAAATAAAAAAATTTGTATATAAAATTAAAATTTACTTACTTATCTTACTTATGCCATCTGTAGTTGAAGTCAGAGTTCCTAAAAATTAAGCACATCTATTTAATCGAAGCACGAAGCACTTTAGTACAATGCCATGCATCGTTGGTATGCTATTCACGCGAGGGGAGAATATCGATTGGCTATTATAATAACAGTACTATTATAACTTATTGGCGTTTATAGGTTAGTAAGTATCTAATTGCTTTTGCAGCCATTCTAATAAATACTAAAGTATTAATAAAATGCTACCACAAAGTCAATAGAGATTTTTAATGCTGGTTAATGAGTTTTGGAACTATGAATTGTCACACGTAAACAGCCAACAGTCGGTAATCAAGTAATTAAACCCGAAAACGCTCACAGCATTCTCTCTGGAATATAATTCTTGAAATTCACTTTTCATTAATTGAAAAATTTAAAGTTTCTAAACTAAACTTATGTTAAGTTCATCTATGATTTCTATGAGATGTGACGTAAGAGACGTGATCTGTCTAGGTCATATAAGAGTTCTTTATACCCATGCTTCTTCTTTTTTTGTCTAGTCATCTAAATTCAAGTCGACGGTTTTTATCCGATAACTCTATGTTACATGGTGCTGGATTGTCTTATCGTTCCGATTCTTTAAATCCATTGTTGTTAGTAAATTGGAAGTCGAAATAAAGAATATCACGGTTTTCGTATACTGGAAAAACTAGAACACAAATTAAAATATTTAACTTTAAATTCTTCAACTAACAATAATATTAAATGCACTTACTGTTATAAAATATTTACCAACTTACTGTTTGGAATTCCACTTTAACTGATATATGTATCTGCAAAGGTAGACTATCTTAACAATTGATTTGGCGTTTACATTTAGAGTGAGTCAGAGCGTAACTTTAATGCATTTAATTAGTTATTATGTTAAACAATTATTTTATTTATTGCATCCCACAGACAATGTTATGGTATGAAGAAACTGCCCATGGTAAAGTTTTAATAAAACTAGGACTTGCATCATAAAACAAATCATATCCACGTAATAGAAAATTTTTTCACCGTGTGACTGAATTTTTCAGCCTTTCTTTAAATGCGCTTTAACTATATTTAAGCATAAACGTTTCATTTTTATATTGTATACATGTACTAGTAGAAATAATAATACCCACTAGTGGTGCCAAACTTCGTTACTTTTGCGTATTTGTAACTACCCGTTACTTTTCGAGTATGTATTCGTTACTCAGTATTCGTTACTGCGCTTTCGTTACTGCGCTTTCGTTACTGCGTTTTCGTTACTGCGCTTTCGTTACTGTGCAGTCGTTACTGAAGTTTAAATGTTTTTATTCGGCAATAAAAGAAATTTTTAAAAGCATATATATTTTTTATAATAAATTATAGATTTAATAAATTAGAATTATTATTTTATTGAATTGTTTGATCCGCATATTTTGCATTAAGCTTTTCACGTCCTACTTGTTCAAAAGAATCCAAATTTCACTTTTTTATATTAATATTTTTAAACATTTTTAATGAATTTGATAGCGAAGAAAAATTTTGTTCAAAATAAAGTAGTTATTATATCGCAAAAACAATTGCTTAAAAGTAATCGTTACTAAGTACTTGAAAGAGTAGTTATAATAAATATTACTCATTGGTAAAATGAGTAAAAGTAACGAATACAATAAAAAGTTTGTATTCGTTACTCAGGTATTTCTTGAGTAACGAATACAAAGTAACGGATAGTTACATTTTTGGCACTACTAATACCCACATTTCATTCATTAACTTCATTGCTAGTTTAATTAAAATATTTTACTTTCTTCACAGCTGTGTTGCGCTGTGTGTGTGAAAATTATGATACTTTGGCGAACCTTGACAACTAGAGGGCAGTACTAAACCTTTACAACAGTGTTTTAGTGAAGATAGTTACATCATTAAATTATGTTTGGTTTTACTATAATTACTATAAATACTTAACAAAATTACATAAAAATATTTCATAATTTTTATGTTCTGTAATGCACACACTCTGTAAAATTATTCATAATGAAAAATGCATTTTTGCATTTTTTGCATTTTGTGAGATGGCAACACTATGTGAACATATGCCGATCAGCTGATTAAAACAAATTATATGTTCAACGAAAACTCAACAAGCACAAATTAAGAAAACATTTCACCTGAACTTTGAACCCCTTCAGCAGTGCGCTTGCTCATAAATAATGAAAAACAACAGGCAGGAAAATGTATTCCATGTGAAAAATTAGATATTTTCTGAAGTTGGTCGGAGAAGTAAGAAAGTCGCGGGTGATTTTTTCCATTAATTATATATTGTATATCTTGACATAAAATTTGTATTATTCTATTGTAATTGTTGGAATAAGTTGAAATAATATATTGTGATTTATGTGAAAAATTATGTTTTTTTTAATCTTTTATTGAAGTGTTTATCTATATTTTAAAATAAATTGCTTTATTCACAATTCAGAGGTTAGTAACAGTGAGCACGTTAAAAAATTTTTTTTTTAAATATCTATACAATGGTATTAATACTTTCTATTTGTATAATGAAATTCAAACCATATTTTAATTAACTAATGCAAATTAAAAACTTGAAATAACTATTTTTAATTAAACTGAAAATATTGAGCGAGTTACCAACTCCTGGTTACCAATTAATATATTGAAATAACTTTATTTACTTTTCTGTACGATATGGAAAAATAATCATCTGAATCTGAATCGCTTAAAAGATGTGCAAATAATCAAGTCCATTAGTTGGTAAAATATTAAAAAAAATATGTAACTTCAGTTTTTAAATAAAATTTTGATTTTTAAACAGTCGGTGGTTCATTTAAAAGTTCAATGTGTAAATTAAAAAGTTTTCATAAACAGTAATATAATATATATCATAATTTTATTATAAAAGTGGCGTAAAAACTATTCGAACTAAAAACTTTTAATTACATTTAATAAACAAAGACTAGGAATTACATGGCTTTGTGATTTTATTTTAGTTCAGAAGACAATGCAACAGATCCCTTCTCTGCTTTAATATCTGCAACACAAACCATATTCGCTAAATAACAACGCGAATAGGCACCGGCGATTACACACCACCGAATTACGGTGGAAGGATCGGAAGTATTAAATTGTGCATGTTATCTTTTTACTTACAAGCCAAAAAAGTATTCAATCCACAAATTGTGATCGTATACCAATAGCGTTGTGAATTACAGTCCTACCACTGCACCGCACCGCTGTCGCCGCTACCCTGTAAGTTTTCATCATGACACATTGGGAAGATTTCTACAACACTCACCTGCCACCAACGGATTTCGAGGATAATCGCTCGCTATTGAAAGAATTTTGTGAACGACACAATAAATTGCACAACAGAATCGTCCTTGTAACAGTAAGTTTGAATTAATTGCAATGAAATGTTTTTTTTTCCTAGTCAATAATTGTTGACTAACCACAAATAATTGGTGAGATATAAGGTTACGGGCGTATTCTGGCCACTAATGGAAAATTATTCTATTTTTCTGTTAAGCATTGAAATATGTAGTCGAATGATGGGAAATTGACTTTTTAAATGAAATAAGAACACTTAGGCTTCTAATAAGCCTAAGTGTTGATGTTTTATCACAAATAAGAACATACATGCATACTGTATGATGGGGCTGTCGTTGCAAATGTATATTTGTATCAGTGGCGACGCGTGCCCTATCTGGAAGGGTGTGCGGCTCTTCTACAATGTTGTTTTTACATGTACCACTTAAATTGAAAATGTTAAATTGAAATATAAAAGCTGTTTTATAATAAAAACTATATTACATTAGGCAACAATATATTCACAATATAACATTTATCAATTCATTAACAAAAGAACATAAAACATAACATAAAAGTTAATAAATTATATATAAGTCAAATATCAATATGGAATAAGTACAACTTTTCAGATATATCTTATAACATCAAACCAACTTTTTTCAAACAAAAGAGTTTGTACTTTGAACCATACATGTTTATGTAGTGATCAAACAATCGAACACACTTGCAACGTATAAATGTGCGGCCAGCTACTCCGCACACAAAGTGGTTATTGCAACAGCTAAAAGGGGAGAGACGAAATTTGAAAGAAATGTATGGTATAGTGATGTGAGCTGCAAACTTTAGCCGCACATCTAACCGCTTCGGCAAGTCAACATGTTGAATTGTTATACATGTAGTCGATATTCGAATAGAACAGAAAATACTCTCATACAATTTCCAATATCTATTTTTTTTATTTTATGACATACTTATGACAGAAATTTATGAATGCAATTGCTTAAAGGGGAAAGACAAAATGTGATAGAAATGTTTAAGGATATGATGTATACATGTTACTCTACAAACCTTTGTCATTCCTTTGAAAATATACGAGTATAATTAAGAAATTGTTTTAAAATAGTTTAGTTCTTCAGTTTCAGTTGTATATTATATATTACTTGAGTCTTGGGCTTCCTTACAACATTCCTTAGGTCACAATTGTCTCTCGCAATTTTAATATAACTTCATTTTTTTAAGGATCTATAAGTAAAGATAACTGATACCTATTACAGAAGTTAGTAATTTACCAATATTTAGTATTTAACATTACAACATTGAAGAAAAAGAAAGAGAATACAAAAAATCTGTCATATTATTTAACAGTTCACATCTTGTACTATTAATTTTTTTTTAACTTTTAGTCAGGTGGCACTACCGTCCCTCTAGAACATAACACGGTTCGGTTCGTAGATAATTTTAGTGCGGGAACTAGAGGCTCATCATCAGCCGAATACTTTTTAGATCATGATTATGCAGTTATATTCATGCATCGCCAAAAATCTCTAGAACCTTTCACTCGACATTTTACGGGACAGCAATTCTTTGACATGCTAGAAATTAGTGATAATGGACACAGTACATCAATTACAGTGAATCCAGATTCGGTCGATGTGTTTGCACCAATTTTGGCCAAATACAAACAAGCACGAGAATCCCAAATGATTCTCTATGTAAGCTTCACGAGTGTTGTGGATTATATGTGGTTGCTGCGTGCGGGATGTGAGTGCTTAGCTGCATTTGATGAACGAGCGCTGTTGTATTTGGCGGCAGCCGTATCGGACTTTTACATTCCACAGGATATGATGGTAAGTCTTTTTAAACATAAATTTTTTCATATCGAATACACAAAGTTTTGCATATGTCACACTGTAGTCTTACGCTCTAGTTATAATTGTTTCACTTTAATTTGGCAAGAACCCAAATGTTTATTAATTGGTTTTATTGATTTGATAAAACACTGTTCGATGATTCACTGCGAGTAAGTACGAGTATGTCTATTTAGTGTTGGGCTCGCTTTATCAATACCGATGTATGTTATTTTAATAATTACATTTATGCACACAAGTGGAAAATGCTTTACAAACTTTTCTACTGCCGACTGGAATTTGCATATTCAATTATTATTTCACCCTTTGAAGTAATCTAATGAATTTAAAGTGATCAGGTCTTCGTCTAAGAACCAGCAAAGTTTCAGCTCAGTGTAAAATCAAATGCATAAAAAAGTGCTGCAAACTTTGTGGGCCAGTTTTGTATCCTTGCTGTGTACACTTATAAAGTTTTCCTTTACGGTATACTTGCCCTCTTTGACGTGTTTGAATCGTGGAGATATACGAGCAATTGTAAAGCTCTGATATGCCGTTATGTTATATCATCTACGGTTTAGTTCACAGGATGTTGATAAAATGTGTCACCCCTTCACAAAATGAGAATGATAGCAGAAGTAATGAAGATGACAATGCCAACAGTTTTCAGTAAATTCTTTTTTCAGCTTAATATTGTTATCTGCTGTTCGTGATGCAGGTGGATTTTGTCTTCCTCTGCCTTCACTGAAGTTGGTTTTACATCTTTTATATGCCATGATTGCTATTCGTTCCTTGACATTGTCCTTGAACACGGATTAAGAGTAAACGGATGTACGTGAATGTAATACAGTGAAAAGTGTCGGTTCACGAAGTATTTGCACTTGTACTTGCACATTGTTATCGCTGATTTCACTATCACAAGTGTAAATTTATTCACTACTACTAGAATCACTTTTACTTAATATTATGTGAATTACTTGATTGCCTGTAATTCAAAAGCATAATATCTTAAACAGATTTACAATTCAATTGATATTTTCTTTCAAATTTACTAATAGCGGTGAGTAATAACATTCCTTTCTCATATAAAATGGAACAATAGATATAACAGATATAACAACATAGGGAATTTTAGCAGAATAAGATAAAATGATAGATAAAATATAGATAAATAAATTTAGTTATTGGTTGCTGTTGGTGACCTTATCTGTTGAGCAATACTAGATAATACTAAACTATGTTGAATAAGTTCTTTAAGTACGAAAACTACCATAGTTCAATCAATCTATGTTAGTTTCTAAATCAAATAATTTACCAAAAAAACCTGCTTTTATTCTGCTACTAATCAAAGAAAGTACGAGGGTAACTATTTATATTTTAAGTCTAGTGCTTCGAGCGCGAACAACATTTGTTGGAATTGGTTCATTTTGAAATACCCATACAGTCAACTGCTGTTTGCGTGCCGGTTTATACGCATATATCGATGATTCGTCGTCTGTTACAATTTAACACAAGTAAACGTCTTTTGAAGACGCCATTGTATTTTTTAAACATTTGTGCACCAATCAAAACGAGCATCTTTTTGAGATTTTCTCAAATGATGGGGTTCTAGTTGGATTAGAATAAACATTTTTCACGGTTAAATGATCGTGTAATATTTTATATATGCTGGTGGAACTGCCTAGGGTTCCCTCAGTCTAATAGTATGTCGCATAAGGATCTTGCATTATCAGTTTTTGCACAGTATTAATGTTTTTTTAGCAAAACAACTGATTTTGGATGACCTTCACGAATTTCGTCAGTGAGCGATCAGCGGCTACAATTAAAATCATTTTACCAGTGTTTTATAGTGGCAAAGGATGGAGCTTTATTCGCCAATTGTGGAAGTAAGTTGATCGATGCACTCTTTCTGATAATCCATGTCAAAGTCGTAAGAAATCATCGTACTAGAAATTTTGTCGTGTTAATTCCATTATTTCGCAAACACTTAATTTACAAATCTCAACTTTTTTATCCGGTCTATTGAGTATTTAATTCCCTTAACTTTTGATAACTCTGTTTGCTGTATGAACTTTTTATTCAAATTCAATTGCTGATTATTACTCTTGTATAAAGTACCAATAATGCTGCTGTTCTACCTTTTTTCCCATGTTAACTCTCTATAAAATATTACGAAAATGCTTATCATTAATGATTACCAGATTTTCTTTTTATGTTTTTCTTTGATTTTATATTTTCCTGCCAGCTTTTACAAATCTTTTTTTCTATCTAAATAGTTTAAAAAATTCTTTGTCTTATTCTTTGTTTTGTATATTTAAAGAAGGTTAATTGAGCCTTATTTTTTTTCATTTAACATCATATCTGACATTTTTTTTATCGACCCTAGTTGTCCTTCCACAGCACGGAAGTGTAGTCCTTTATGTTTTGGAAGTTTATGATCCTTGAAGTTTCAAAACATCTCTGTGCGAATTGATTGTGTTTAGAAACCAAATTGATAATATTATTTCCATATGTTATTTGTTGTAAGTTGTCGAACCATGCAAGTTTCCTTTTCCATATATACAAGGATACATAAGAGTAAAAGTCCACAATACCACTAACTCAAATAATAACAACAACAACAACATAAGAGTTTATGTATTTCTACCAAAGATTTCGCTTTCATCATCATTCAGCAAATAAGATTCAAAAGTTTTTAATTATTTACGTGCTGTTATTAAAAGCTTATGTGTGTGTGCTTTTCATTCTGCGATACACATAAGTTCATTATCCTTCAAATAACTAAACGTAAAAACTAGGCGGAAAGCAAAATAATGTTCTCGACTATTTTGCCCCAAAAAAGGATAATGAACTGGTGGAGCTGCTCCGACACAATTTTTGTAGCATCATTACTTGCCGATTTTTTAGGAAAGTAGAATCGTTTTGACAACAGTGTTTTGCACTGTTGTCAAAAGTGTGTCTGCAAAACATCCAGGGTATTAATGTAAATTAAAAATCAAGCTCAGAGCTTAGCATAAGTGACATTGACAATTACATTGAACAGGATGCTGCGCTTGGCTACGCACTCTTGCCGTTCTATGAATATGGACATTAATTTGTGTCTCATTAAGTTAGACATTTAAACATTTATGTGATTTCGAGTTGAGGTGATTTTCGTTTTCTTATTAACGTAAGTAAAGTTTTTGAGGTGCAACAAGCAAATGGTTAATTAAAGTACAAAATCTGAATTATACTTTATAGATCAAGCTTCTACTCAGCTTTCTCAATGCCAATGTCCTGTCAGTATTTAAAAGGCGAATAACTCTTATTGCTACTATTTGTTAGTTATTTGTTTATTTTTTTGCTGGTGTTTTATTCATTGTTTATTATTGTAGTTTATTGAGTAGTGTTTTTACTTATTTCAATTGTTGTCGAAGAATTTAAATTCAAAATGTTTCAAAATAATTTATTCACAAACAAAAAGGGTATATGCATATCAAAGGAAAATCTCCTAAATGTTCTGAGGTTTCAAATTTACGTTCTAAAGATGTTCTCATAATAAATCATAAGTTAAACAATCACTAAATTTATTTAATAACTTAAAGACATAATAAATTGTTATAAAGTTTGCATGCTTGCATTGAGTGGATTGATTTATTGCACATTCACTTTACTTGTTTACAATAATCAATTATGCGAATAATTATTCTTTATGTCTTAATAATCTTATGTATTTTATATTAATTGATTAATTTTATTATTATGTTGAAGCTAGTTGAGCCAGTGCACTTGAGCACTTTTACTCTCTATTAACTGCGAGGTATCTTCAAAACAATTCTTTACGCCTTGACTGGATTATTGTTTATCACTTCATCAGACTAAGCAATAATTGACCTCAGATCTGCATACATCCCCAAGGAGCCTGTAACCATTCTGTGATTCTATAACGCGGTGTTGGTAAGTCTGTCAGTTTTCGTAAATAATTTCAGGGCTCTATCCTTTATGTATTTTTTGTTCGGATCAATCTTGAGGTCCCTGAGGATGTCATTCGTCCTAATGTACCATGGTACCTTGAAAAGTCTTCTCAGAGACTGGCTTTGTGCAATTTCTAGCTAGCGAATAGTAATGTTTGAGGCTTTGCTAAACCATTCACATCCATATAGAAGTGACGGACGAATTATTTGGTTATATATCAGCTTCCTATTCTTAGCATTGAGATTTTAATTTTTGAATAGCGGTTGGAGGTGATGAAGAATTTTGGCACAGCTAATTCTTTTCAGTTGAACATGTTTAAGCCACATGAATCGTTTGTCCAACGTGATGCCGAGATATTTAATGCTTTCCTTCGAGTTTGTTACCATATCCCCCACTCTCACTCTTGACGGGTTCTGTCCATGTAAACTTTATAATTCCAATCCTTGCATTGCCTGAGATACCTGCAGTTTATATAGTCGCATATATAGTCGCACATGTTTCTTCACATTTCATATTATTAATTTTTTTTAATTAACGTTAATAATGTTAACATTGTTAATTTTTTTAGCCAACACATAAAATACAGTCGGGAGAAGGTGCACCCACAATTTCTTTACAATTGGTTCCAAAAATGTTAGCACCATTGGCGAGTCTGTGGGTACCACATGCTTTTGTTGTTTCTTTTAAATTGGAAACTGATGAAAATTTGTTAATAACTAAAGCTCGGGATAGTTTAAGCAAATATAAACACACGGTAAGTTTTTTATTTTATTTATTTTTATTTTTACACTTGCACTTACAAGTTACACTTGCCTTCAAATAATAAAGAAAAACTTCTATAAATATTTTTTTAAATGACTCTTCTCTTTAACTCGCTATATATATCAAAGCATTGAAATTCTTTATTGTTAACTTCTATTCTAAATAACAGATTAAATATATCAAAAAGGATCAGCTTTTTAAGTACTATAAACAATTGCTATTAATAATAGGGAAAAACATATGTATGATAAATTATTACAGTTTTAAATAAAAAACAATCAAACGAGAAATATCGAAAAGGTTATTGACCATTGATAACACAGGTCAACAAAAAATATTTTTTTGTCTGTCCCAGATATGTTGTTGGGTGATCCTAGAGGTATTTTTCGTGCTGATTCCAAATCTGGCTCAGATTTTTTTATCACGTCTAGTTTTCTTAAGACAACCAGATTAACGGGTGATTCAAGGGGGTTTCAGCAAATAAATCGTGAATTTAAAAAATGGTCCTTACTTAGGATTTTCTCGCATATTGAGTATCTGGCAAGTCCCTTTTTAGTATCCAGCAGTAATCTGTTAACATGTTGGTGAAATTTCCTTGGTAGCGTTTTTCCATTTGTAAAATATCCTGCTGAAAACGCTCACCGTGTTCATCACTAACGGCACCAAGATTTGGTGGAAAAAAATCTAGGTGAGAGTAAAGGAAGTATTGTTTTAAAGACACATTGCAGCCCATTCTTTGGTATGATTCAATTAGATTAGCCACCAGATCGCTATAATTTTCATCCATGATATTTCCTAGAAAATGTTCAACTACATTTTTGAATAAGTTTCACGCACTATTTTCCGTTAAACTCAATTGCTGAACTCAATTAAAATTTCGAATCCTTAAGCACTTTCCAAATCTGTACAAATCCACTACCATTTTTGTCCATGGCTTTAAAAAAATTTTTAACAAAATGGCAAAAGAATATTTTTTTTTGTAGGATCGATCAAAGGCTGGAAAAGGACATTTTTGGTTCCAGGAACGAGTGCTTTACGTTATGGCCAATCTTTTTTTAAGTAATGCAATTCTCTATATCTGCTATCCCACTCACAGATGAAGCAACAATATTTCATTGCAGGAAATTAGGTTGTTTTCTTGACAATAACTTAAATTTGTCATGACGAGATTGATATTTAGAAATTTTCGTTTTTGGATCCAATAATTTCTAAGAGTTCACTCTTCTTTTTGGACAATTTTAAATCGCACATTAGACAGTTCAAATCCTCTTGCGTTATAAGACAAGGTTCATCAGATGTACTGGGTCCGAAATTACGGTCCTTTGTGTTTGGGCTTCGTTCATTCTTACATTCTTGATTACTTTCAGAATCTTCGCAAGGATTAACATTTTCCGGTTATTTCGGCAATGGTAAATATTCAGAGTGAGCGACTGGTCGTATATCTAGTTGCAGGTTGTTTGAATATTTTACTGTGTGTTTTGACTTCGGTTTAATTCCTCTAAGTTTTGTTAAACAAAAATAACAATTTGAAAAATGACTCATATGTTCACGCCAAATTATGGAGACGGCAAATTTTTATGACTTTTTTCCTCAGTCCAACCTGTGAGAAGCCTTACACAGATACTGCAAATCACATAAAGCGCCCCTCCATAATCCTGGCCACCCAACGGACAGGCAAAATAAAGTTTAGAACACTGTCTCAAGAAGGGACTCACGAAAATATATTATATATATGACATATATATTATATATATCATATATAAATGAAATAAATAATTATTTTCGTTAAAGCAAAAACATACATTTAACTCTCCTAAAGTATCCAGAAGTGGTAGAAAGAATCTAAATGCAGATTCGGATTTAGCACGAAAAATACGTCTAGATTCACTCAACAACGTCTCTAGGACAAAATCTTTGTTGACCAGTGTAATATAAAGATTTAAAAAGTATTTCAGACATAATACCAATAAATTTGAAATAATTTTTTAAAACCTTTTATTAGAACTAAGAGTTAAGCTTTCAATTATATCGCATCATATGTATCGTGTCATATCGAATATCAATATATTATTTGAAATATATATCAATTTAAAGGTTTTTAGTATATTTAATTCTAAGTTGTTTTCAAATTCAAATTAATTTTTAATTTTTTTTGCATAGCAAAAGAAAGGTAGACTAACACGCTAAGTTTCGATTACATGTATTACTAGTCTCTATTGTTTTCCTGTGAATGTCATGGGATTCCTTCATCCCTTTTCTTTACATTGCTGTTGTTGTCATGTATTCGAATGGCACTTTTTCAATATCATTATCAGCTTAATGGTCGGATTAATTTAATTATCAAAAATTACCCACACTATTGTTCCTACACCCATTATTTATAGTTTTTATTAGCATTGTTATCGTAGTTTAATGTTGTGACCTACTTACAGTAAATAGTTTAACTCATATTTTATTTTATGTATTTTACATATTTCAAATTGTCTTCCACTATTTGTAGTTGGTAATAGCAAACATACTACAGACACGCAAGCATCGTGTAGTTTTCGTGACCCCAACAACCTCATACGAGGTGCACCTGAGCAGGGAGCAAGCATTGCAAGGACTTGAAATCGAGGAACCAATTGTTGCTGATGTTGTAAGTATTACTAATAAAAAAATTGCATACTTTGACATTGAGATATTAATATTTTTATTTATTTTGTATTTCGTAATTATTTTGATTTATTATATATATATATATTATATTTTATTTTTTGAAATGAAATTAAATGGTTTTCGTTACCAATTTTCACCTTAGGTACAGAAGCACACTGAATTTATTAGCACGGCTTCAAGTCGACAATGACCATTGTCTATGCGACAGAGACGTCATATACAAGTTGATTGTCGCGTGACCACACCACATTTTTGCCGTTTATTGAATCCAGGACCAGGCATTGGGCGTAAATACTAAACACTTATAGTTATGTACAGCTTTAGT